GGCGCCTGGGTGGCTCAGTAGGTTAAGCCTCTGCCTTCGGCTCAGGTCATGATCTCAGGGTCCTGGGATCGAGCCCCATATCGGGCTTTCTGTTCCGTAGGGAGCCCGCTTCCCCCCCCCCTCTCTGCCTTCCTCTCTGCCTACTTGTGATCTCTCTCTGTCAAATAAATAAAATCTTAAAAAAAAATTGTTCTACCAAAAAGTACCTTCCACACACCTACCCATTCTTCAACGTAGTCTGGGTTACACTGCATAACAAGCAGATTCAAGATTTGGTGGCATAAAACAATCAAGCTTTGTTTCTCATTTTCCATGTCCATTGTGAGTTGGCTTGTTGCCATCCTCACTCAATGACCCAGGCTGACAAAGAGGCCACTGCCAGAGATTTGCTGCGCACAGTGGTTGAGAGCCAATGGGAGAACTCTGGTTGGTCTCACACCAGCAGTTTAATGCATGGCTCAGGAGTGACACCTAATTTATTGGTTACCACTGGTTTCTTGGCCCTGCACATCACAAGGGGACCTAGAAATCCTCTCTTACTACGAGCCGATAATGGGGGGACAGTAACGCTGTCACTGACTGTTTTATTGACTGCGACCCAGACTTTGGAACAGGTACGCCAGACCTGGCAGTGTCTGGCCCCCAGAGGGATCACATACCTGTTGTTCTTCCTTTATGACTGCTTAGCCCTGAACTCACAGATTCCGTGGGAAGCCTGGAAGCCAGGATATTGAGAACTGCTTCCTTTGCACATCTCCCGGGCATACCTTTGAGAGTCCCAGTTCTGTTTCTGTCCGCTTCAATTGTCTAAACTAGTGGATGGTGCTTTTTACCTTCCCTGGGGGCATTGCGGAACGAATGAAGAGATTGCCTGCGGGGAGGTCTTTATTCCTGAGGATTTTTCTTGCCCTTGTGCATCTCTGCTCCTGAAATCTGACCCTGGTGTTGGTAGGATCTCCTGGGTCACCTCCACAGCAATAACATAATGTGGCTGATGGAAGATCAGAGAGCTGGAGCCGGACTAATTTGAGGAACCAGGTGGGCTTGTAAACAGTTATTATTGATGAAGAATGACTTACTGGCTATTTACAGACACCTGTTTTCCTGTTCAGTCTTGTTTTCTGTGTGTGTGTGTGTGTGTGTGTGTGTGTGTGTGTGTGTGTGTGTGTTTAACAGACTTTTTTTTTTTATTGCACTTGAGGACTCTTTGGTAATGTCTTCTGATTTACCACTTGTCTGTGTTTTTAATATCAAGGAAGAACATAGATTGAAGTGATTGCCTTTGGTAGCAACTTTAGTGGTGATGGGTGTGGAGTTATTAAAATTTATAGGCATGCTGGTTTTGCAGCTACACTTTGCTTGCCTTGGACGGGCTTATAAAAGACACCGAGGAATGCGAAGAGAGAGCAGCTACCAAATTGTGACAGGAAATCAACCGTGCAAATGTTGTTTTTTAATGTTCTGTTTGCTAAAATTTACATTTATGTTTACAATATTTCTTGATGACACTGTCGCCCAACCAGCCAGCCCTTAGCTCGCACCACCACTTTGAACTATACTGATGAGGGAAGAGAAAGGGAGAAGATGACTGACATTTATTGAAGTCCCAAAGTATGAGCAGCCACGTGCCGGGTGTTTCACACACATGTATTCTCCTAAAATCTTCCTAAAATCCAAGCTTCAAAGGTAGCAATTCGCCTTTCCCTTCTTCCCCAGGTCCCTTTATAGTGGGGAAGTCGGAAGTTAAATAACCTGCCCAAGATCACATAGCTCTCAGAGCGAGAGAGAGGCATTATTTGAACCATGCCATGCTGAAACCATGTTTATCCTATTGAACAAATTAACTTCCCCAGTGCTCACAGGGTGTGACATATAGTCAGTCAAATGTTTGGATTGTTCCTTCTCCTGATCTCATTTATCCCTTTTACTTAAATAATATTTTATTACTTGTCAAGTGCTGTCAAGTTCATCATTGTAATCATATCATTTTTAGCCTTATAACAGCCCTAGGAAGTCTGGAAAGCTGGTGTCCTGAACCTACCGTACAATACTAAAAAGGGGTTCGGAAAAGTTAGGTCACTTTCCCAAAAGGTCAGCTGAGGCTGTCTCCAAAGCCAACATTCTTTATCCCTCAAATCGTCTCCTCTCCAAACGCATGAGCCAGCAGAGTTCATTTTCATGGCAGCTGAGCGTGAGGAATTCAGTCCTAGGCAACTATATGGGTACTTGCCGTACGACTTGTAACGAACTGAGACAAAGCAGTTAGCCACAGATTACAATGCCGCTGTGGTGCCATGACAAATGACAAGGAGGTTGCAGTGATGAAATCTTATTACCGCAAGTAAAGAGACCACATCTGAGGTCGAGCACAGCCACAGTTACCACCGTGGGGGAACACGATGGAGCATCTGGGTAAGGGTCTCCACGTTCATTGGCGGGAGCTCTCGCAGGATTGAGAAGATCTCTCCGAAGCCTTGATTACAGTGGCAAATGTGTGGCGCCTCCGATAAGGACCAAATATTTATTCTGGCAGAGATTAAATCTTTTCTTCCCCTGAATCTATTATGGATCTTGCAGAAAATCTGCCCAAGAACATATCTCGCTGATCAGCCAACTCACTGAGCCAGAACTGTACTGTGCCGCTGCCGTTGCTGAAAAGCTGCAGAATGCTGGTTTAAAGGTCTCCGCTCTACCTAAAACTGCTCTCCACCATGATTAATTAGTGACTCAGAGGTGAATTGAATCACCAGCAGCCCTTTCCGTGCGCCCAGGATTTATATAGTGGTTTCTCATTGAAGAACAGTGGTGCAATAAACAGCCCACATTTGTGGGGTGGGCAGAGGAGTGATGGTGTCTGCACTTATGGCTTCTTAACTCCTCCGGTTCCCTCGTTCTGCTAAACCGGTTATGACTCAGGTTACTATAACCTTGCTTATTTAGGCATAAGGATGAGTAGGTTCTAACATGTACGCGCCAACCCTTAGAAAAGGATGCCGGTGCTTTAAGTAGGGGAAAGCAGAAAAATCACAGTATCATTTCTGAATTCCTAGAGAATGAAGGAGAAAGAATAAAATGATCCAGTATTAATTATGGGCATGAAAGATGCAAAAGAACCCATCATCAATTTCATTTCTCCATTTTAATGCAGGTGCTTTGTTTAGTGCTGGAGATGTAGGGGTGAGGGGAAAAAACACCCTGAGAACATAGTGTCCCAATAAACAGGGATTTACGAAATCATAAGTACATTTAGTCCCCATTTAGGAGGGCACCTGCATTCCTTTTTACAGAAAATAGAACATGGGAATTGCAGACATCATTTTACATTGTGTGCTGTGCAATCTGGACACAAAGGAAGGGACAGTGTCCACCCCGTATCACAGCTATCCCTGCATGTTGAAAGCCGCCTTTCTTAGTCACCTTAGATGCCTAATTTCTAAAATCAAGACTCCTAGGTACTTGTCCACTCTTTTTTCAGGAATAAGATGTGTTCACCTCCTAAAGGAAAATTGGCAAGGTGAAGAAAGCGGTCTTTTGAAAAAAGAAGTGAAGTGTACCAAAGTATCTGGAAACCAAAGCCTAAAACCTCACCAGAAGTCTTAATTTACTGACTTTAAGCACAACAAGTGCCATGTATTGAATGGATTTTTGTTTATAAATAAATGAACCCAATTACTAAATCTGAGTTTCCATGAAATCCTTCCTACACTTAGCTTGAATGCCTTCTGGACTACTTTTTTCATATCCTTCTTTTTCTTATCCTTTCCTCCCTCCTCCTCCTCTTTCCTGTCCTCCTCCCCCTCTACCTTCTTATTCTCCTTCTACCTCTTGAAAAAGAACAGAGAGGATAACAGAGACTATGTGGACAAAGAGAACATCAGGGTTACCACTAAATTTTATTGCTCTTAAATGTTCAACCTGTTGCCAATAAGTCAGAAAACTAGAAAAATGGAGAAAGATGTTTCCTCCTGTCCTCGCCCATCCCTCCTGATGTGCCCTGTGCCGTGATACCTTCCTGGGAGGTTGACAGAGACGGATTAAATCTGACCAGTAAGCTTACTTCTGTTTTGTGTCTCATTGTGAATACTATTTCCAACTCTTAGTCGTAACCAATGACTAGAGGAGAAAAGTAAGAATTTTAATAGCATTATTCATGTTTCAGTGTTTCTGGCACTTCTCAGGTAGCAGATGGTGCCGTCGCCTCTACCTTCACCATCATCATCACCCTCATTGCCAGAGTGTTTCTCTTCTGGAATTCATTGTATTTTCCTTCCCAAAAGTCTTTTTTGGGGGGCCGTTGAGGTTCTCATTTGCTATGTAGCATACAACTGCTGAATATCATAGTCCTCTTCGGATGAGCCTTAGGAATAGCGGCACACGTGTGAGAAGAGTAGCAGCCATCTGACCCTGAAAACCCCAGCTCGGTTTCACTGGCCTCTCCTAAGGATACATTTCCTCTGGGTTTGAGACTTACATGGCGTGTCCTCGGGTGTTGATCTATAATGCTAGCCTCTGTGCTATTGCCTGCTCATCATTCATTGTACCCCTCCTGCCTTGGCCTCAATCCCCACCCCCCCCCGAAATGCACAAGTATGATTATATTTCCTCTTTAGTCCTAAATCCAAACTGCGAGGTGATCTAGGCTCCAGTGTCTAATTACCTCCCCTAGAAAACAGGCTTCGTTCCTCTCACAGAAATGTACTTTGCAGTGTCACTGCCCAGCTCTTACGTGGTTCTGTGGTTTCCAGCTTTGATATCTGTGGAGAGCAATCAAATGATGTCACTTGTGCAAGGGCAGCCCGTGAGAGCAATCTGGGTGGCTTTATACCATTGACTTTTATGCTGCGGATGAAAGCCCATGGAGAAACGTAGGCTACTATTGTTCCCTTCATGCAGACAGCTCCCTCTGGGTATCTACAAGGTTTCCTGCCAGTCAGGATCCACTTTAAAGAGAACATTTTGCGGTTGGTGCTAACTATGCCTTTTGTGTTTCCTTATCATAGGAACAGGGGAAAATTGGAGTTGTCTTCAATATTGGCACCGTTGACATCTCCATCAAGGAGGAGAGAACCCCCGTCAATGATGGTAAATATCACGTGGTGCGCTTCACCAGGAACGGCGGCAACGCCACACTCCAGGTGGACAACTGGCCAGTGAATGAGCATTACCCCACAGGTACGTGTTGTTCGCTCTGTGACCATGCACTCTCTTTGGCTCCCCCATTCTTACTCCTAAGTGGCAACTTTTTCATTACTGTCCCCATATCATAAAACACTGATTACTAACCACATCAGTCATGTTTTTTTGTTTTGTTTGTATGAGAAGAGTTATCACGTCAGGGCTTGGTTCAATGCAGGGAGCTTCTGGAGACTTACTAACTATGCACTGGACACTCTTTGTCAATCTGACATACTACCCAACTGGCTCATACTAAAGACAATGGCCTTAGGTTTTCCATGGCATTGCAGATGATGACCGGGGGAGGGATGGGGTGCCATCCCCATCGTGAGCTACTGTTGATGATCACAGAATAATCCATTTTCTTATCTGGACTCTATGGTGCCATTTAGGCAGGCAAGGTTGAAAGTACAGATGGTCAGAGATTTCAGACAGACTGTAAAGGAAGTTTACTAAAACTTAAAGGGTTGAATATCAAGTCAGGGTAACGATGAGGAAAAAATGAAGGGTTAGGTTTCATTCATTTGGTTGACTTGGCCAATTTTTCCTTTCATTAACGCTAAGCCTGCTTTGATATTCAGAGATTAGTCCTAGTAGGCATTTTAATAGCAAGCATGCTGGTGTGGGAGGGAGAGGGGTTAATCATCTGTTTAAATTTTATGGTCAAGGAGCATTTGCCAGCAAACTCCCAGAGCCAGATGGCCAAATCAAGGGCAATGGGAGGAAAGGTTTCCTTCTTTTAAAGAGATCATTCAAATCATCCTTTAGCTTTCCCTCTCATCTCTCACCTCTCCTAGCAAAAGAGTCCTGAACCCTCATCATCAAAGTTCCAGGAAAGGAAGGGAAAATACTTTGGCTAAGGGCCTTTGTTCCACAATGGCATTATCACTTGGTGGATGCAAGAGGCTAGCTCAGAATATTGAACTTTTCACTAATGTGGGCATGAGACCATGTTTCACTCTCTCTCCTATGCTTCAAATTCCGCATAATTCTCTTACTCCCGTCCTCTCACTTCCTTAATAGTGAAGTAGGCGCAGGGATAAGGGAGCCCAAAGCACATTTTCAGAAGTTTTTAAGAGCTGTTTAGCTAATTATCATCACATTTGGGAGAAATACAGAAAGTAAATTTGCCTATTTGTGGCCCAAGAATTTTGAATGACTCGAAGGCTATAATTTTCATGCCTAATTCAGCATTAATTTTCTTTAAAAGCCAATCAGAAGGAATGGTGCTACTACTCACTCCCCCTCCCCCCACCCCCAAATAGCCAGTCTTCCTGTGACTGGTTTAAGGATTATAGGAGCGTCTATAAAAAGCATACAAGACTCCCAAGCTATTGATATGAAAAGCACCGCCTACCCATTTATCTACCATCTCAGTCTCCACACAATATCCAGCTCAGCCTTTGCTGGGAGTCTCTTGTCATACACTTAGTACTTCTCAGATTAAGGCACAAAAATGACCTTATGCGTTTATCTTTGAGCCTTTGAAGACAGCCAGAGGTGTTAGCAGCGGCTATGAATTCTTATCATCATCCAAATTCTTTAGGCACTAATAGACCTGATTTTTAAATGTTTTGTGCTTACACTCTGGGAGATGGGTGGACACGGGAATCCAAATAGCCTGAGATCTGAAAAGCCATTCATCTGCTTATCAGAAAACTCGCTCACCGTGCGTGTTATCACTGGCCCCGCTAATGCTGCTGTAGGGTTTGTTGTTTCTATTAGGAATTTCAGAGATTTCTAAATTGATGTTAACCACTTGCCCTGAGCCAACATAGAATCCATGAGTTTGCTGAAGACTCTTTAATGGTCATTTAAAAACCACAGTAAGAAAACCAGTGACCCTGGCTGTGTGCCTGTCTCTTTATATCTTTGGTTCCAGATTATGGGTTGCTCACTATGTTTTCAAAACAGAATAAACTTTTCTTGAATGGCATTGCTTACCACTGAAAGCGATTATTAGTAACTCCTGGTAACCATTACTTAGGAATAATAAGTATTATCATGACCGAGCATGAGGCAGTAGAGCGGTTGTAAGTCTGGGCTTTGGAGTCATCTGGCTGGAGTTGGTGCCATCAGCTGTGAGTCTAAGGCAGCCTGAATTAAAACCTTGAAGGGCCCTGAGCACTGAATTATTTGGTGTCTGCCCCTGTATGCAGTTCAGCAGTATACCGTAAAATAAGTGTAAGAATTTCTAATACTCTTGATTTGGGGATTGATCACTGTGATGCTTCAGAAATATATTCTGTTCTTTCTCCCCACATTCTCATCTTTTACTCTGTTTTCTTGCTTCTCTAAGTATGTATTCTTCCTATGTGTCGATCCAGTGTCCCCTCAATAACTTTAGGCAAGCTGCTTAACCTCTGAACCTCTGTTTACTGGTCTATAAAATGGGGTTGTGTTAATATTTACTTTCCAGGGCTAATGTGCAGATTCAGTGAATGTATATAAAATGTTAATTAAGTCAGAAAATGACCAAATATTTGGGTAGCATTGTTTTACTATGACATCTTCACTCATACAATTTTCTTCACTGAGGCCATTAAATAGCCCACAAATTAGGTAGGTTTGGAATTCTTATTCTCCATTTCAAATTTAAAAAGAGACCCAGGAAGATGCTATGTTTTTCCTAAGATCACATAGTAAATGTGGGACAGGACTAAGACCATATTCTCCTGTTCTCAACTGGACACAATTTCTACTTTTGTTCCCACAAAAATTGGGGGATATTTTGAAAAATGCATGGGTAGAAATGAACATCTCTCTTCTTAAGTCATTTTAAACTTACTCCTTTTTTTTAAAGTGTCCTAATACATAGGTCAGTACCAATAACCACACAAAGGTGGATATTATGAGGTGTGGAGTTGAAAATCCTTTTAAAAAGAAAAGGTTTTTTTTAGCTGTGCTAAAAGGCTCATTTGTAATGAGCCCAAGCTGTCCTCCTTGCAACAATAGCAATGTGCTTCCATGAGGCGATTCAAATACTGAGTATTTGAACTAGTAATCATCATACTTCATTGCCTGGACTGGAAAGTGGTAAGTGGAAAGTCCAACATTCTAGTTTTATTTCTAGTTTTCTTATTTTTTAAAGGGTAAACATTTACTTGGAACAATCTAGTTTTAAAAATTTATATTTTTATTTTTGAGAAAGCGTGAGAGAGCAAGAGTGGAGAGCGGTGAGGCCAGGTCAAGGGGCAGAAGGAGAGGGAGAGAGAGAGAATCTTACATAAGTTCCATGCCCAGCGCAGTGCCCGACTTGGGGCTCCTGAAGCTCATAACTCTGAGATCATGACCTGAGCTGGAATCAAGAGTTGGACTCTTCACCGACTGAACCATCCAGGCGCCCCCAATCTAGTTTTATATTCCATTCTTCCAAGACTTCTTGGGAATGGTCACCTTTTGATCTTTGGATACCTTACTTTCTCTCCCTCCTGCCTCCCTGTGCTACTGAAAGGATCCACTTAACTAAATTTAAAGCATCATTAGAGCAATCTGGCAATGTTTGATTTATATTAAACCATAAGATTAAAATACTCCCTGTATCTGGGCATCAGAGAACAAAGACATCTGGTTGGGCAAGCTTGACACGATTTCTGCAAAAAGGATGCATCCTTTTTCCCCGCTACCCTCTTTTATTGATAGTGATAAGTATAGAAACTCTCAAAAGGAGTTCAGTTGTGCTACTTGTCTATTGCTAATGTTTAAACAGTTAAGAAATACGAAGGAATTCCTGCAGAATATTTGCGTAAGTTAGCTCATTTTGAGGGCATGTTCTCAGAGAACCGTTCCTGCGCAACAGGTCCCTGTGTATCAGGATGATGAATGGGTCAACTCCAGAATCTTCTCCTCTCCTGGACATTCATAGGATTTTATGTGACTCTACTGAAGCATCCCAGTGTGACATAGTTAGAAAGCAGCTGGGCCCAGGGAAGACAGCATTGGCTTTTTGTGAATTAGGATGGATCCAAAAGAAAAGTAGTTCTAGAGCTATCGGGATCTTGTATCACTTAATACTGGGTATAGAACTCAAAAGCAACTTCTTTCTTTGAACCTGAAAATAGAAAGCCTATGGAGCAGGAGAGGGAGGTAAAAGCAGAATCAGCCCAGAGCTGGCATCCACGCACAGACAAATGTTCCTTATAAAGCCTCTGATTACTGTCTTGACACAATGCAGTGGTGGTGACAAGGGAGGGGAGGTGAAAGGCGACTTAAACATGAGGAGTTAATTTTAGCCCCAGCTCTAGGTCCCCTGGGAGGCTGAGCTGACTAGGATTGTTCAAGAGCCCGTCTACCATGCCTGGGTGGCTGGCTGTGTCACTAGGCCTATTGGAACCCTGAGTGTGGAGGGGAAAGAGGCTTTTTGGGTCAGAGACGGGCTTCCTGGAAAATGAAGGCTGATGAGCAGCTCTGATGTACTAGACTTTCCATCTTCCCACTGCAGACGGTGCTGAGGAGAACAGGGTCTCAATGGTTTTTTTCTTTTTTTCTTGATATTGCATACCAACTTATTTGAAGAGCTCTTTATTGGATTCCCCATTTTTTCAGTCAATAAAATGCCCCTGATGACCTGAACTTGAATGCTATCCCACCATCCAGCCCAGAACACGAAAAGGATGGAGAAGTGGCTCTCCTTGAAGACAGTCTATTAGAAAACTTCTTATATTTGAATGTGTCCAATCCTGCAGAATCTTATCTTTATAGGTATTGAAAGCAAAAACATTGCTATCGTGCTTAGTGATGTCCCAAGTGAAATAAGAGAGGTTTCCTTGTCCACATCTCATCTTAGATTACTGAGATTTTGAAGGGTTAAAACCAAGTCTATATACTTGACATGATGCTGAAATTTCTCATGTATTGGTTTTTCATTAATTTCTACCCAGGAGGTTTTCGTTCCTTTTTCTTTCTGCCTTTGCCTGCAAACACTTGAGACCTTGCCAGATTTGAAGCCCACATTAAAACAAGCCCCATCTACTTGCTCATTCATCCGTTCAGAACTA